TATTATATCATTATCTACCAAGTTTGCCTATCTCAGTATTCAGAATCAGAATAGAGCTGGAAGGGACCTTGGAGGTCTTCTAGTCCAGCCCCCTGCTCAAGCAGGAGAACCTATACCATTTCAGGCAAGTCTTTTCTTCAAAACTTCCAGTGATGAAGTACCCACAACGTCTGAAGGCAAGCTGTTCCACTGGTTAATTGTTCTCACTGTTAGAAAGTTTCTCTTTAATTCTAAGTTGCTTCTCACCTTGATTAGTTGTTTGTTATCTTTTGTTTTAGAATGTAACAAAGACAGTGGAAGAAGCGAAACCTAAACCTCCTACTATCCAAGAACTGAAAGAAATGATTAGCAATTACAACTCAAAAGTCAACAATTGTTTGCTGATGAAGCTGGTTGGTATTGCAATTTTGGATATTTCCTACTTTTGTTGTGGTGGCTCTTAAAACTATTTTCCCTTTCAGCATTTCTGATGGGAAGCTTGCTTAAGTTCTGGGGGGACCAATCTGTCTATTACTCTAGGAGCTACAGTAAAAGGTGGACATCTCCATCTTTAATAATTGAAATAACAAATCTTGTCTTCTGTTAATTGGCATTGTCTATAAAAAGAATGGCTATGTTTACTAGGATGTGCAACAATTTGGATTCAAAGTCAAAACAAATTACCGTATGCATGCAGCATATATTTGCAATTTCTTCTTCAACCAAATGCCTCTTTTCCTGGGATCATCCTGTAGTTGCAGGAGCAGCTGTAGAATATCATGAAAAAGTGTGGTAGCTTTAAGGAGCGCTATGTATGTCCTTTCAGCTTTTGAACCACATGCTGGTGTTTTATGGGTGACTATTAAGTAAATGATTGTCAAAAACAGCTTTTCTCATGTCTTTCCTCCCTTCTCATCTGGCGCCTTCAGTCACATGATGAGCGTTAGGACTACATTGATTGTTTGCATGATTTGCATTTGGATTTTCTGTTTTTTCATGGATCCCTTATAAGATGTATTCTCTATTTGGACCTTTGGATAGGTTTCTGCTAGTCTGCAACAGAGCATAGCAGGAAACTACCTTATTGAGGAACTCATCCAGTGAGTTTTTTTAGCCTGGCTTTCCTGGGTTCCTTGCACCCACTTCTCTTTATACTCAGACACTGCATTGCATGGTTTACACAATTCCTAAAAAGTAGAGTGGTAGTCCTAGTTATGCTTGTCAACCATTATAATGAAACATGTTTTGTTAAATTTACTTGGGACCCTAATAGCTCAGACAGATTTTAGATAAAGCAATTATTTGTTGTTTATATCTGGACCAAATAGTTTTCATCTGGATTAAAAAGCATTAGTTCCATTCCCCAAGGCTAAGCTACCTCACAGGGTTGCTGTATGAGAGAGCAGAATGCAAGGAAGATAGATAAGTTGGCATAAATCCTTGCTTTAGCAGAGAATTGGCTATACTTCTAACATTGGGTCTATGTTCCTATGGCACTGATGTTACTGAAATTCAATGGGATTGGTACACAATTTATTAGCACAAATAGGCAATTTTGGCAGAGATCCACTTTTAAAGAACTGGTTTATTTATTTTGTTTTAATCATGGTTCACAGGGATTCTGATTAGAAGCATGATTTTTAAGAGGCTGATCCAAAGGAAAAACACTCTTCGAACTGAGGAGGTTTTAGAGCAGGGGTGTCAAGCTCACAACATGACATGACTTGTCATGACGTATCGCAACTTTTTTCCCATTGCCGGCAATGGGGTGGGCGCAGCTTCACTATGATGCATCCGGCCCGTGGACCAGCAGTTTGACACCCCTGCTTTAGAGGTATCTATCAGCTGAACTTTCCTCAAGCTGTGGGATGACTGTGGGATTTGAGCCATATAGCAGCTGTGGGATGACTGTTCTGTAGTTAATCTGAATCTTGGAAACATTCTGTAGTGTCTATAAATCTGTAGTCTTGGAAACATTCTGTAGTCTCTGTATATCAGCTAATGATTTTCCAGAAATAGATGTACCTGTATTATTTTAGATAGTTGAGACAAATCCCATCCATTACTTCGCAAAGTGGTTTAACATCTATCTCAGTTGCATTTATGGAAGAACATTTTTCCACCACAGAATAGGTATCAGCCAAAGTGCAGAGAGCTTGGTAAATTCCCCTTTAGTGTGCATTCTTGTGTTTTTCCCCTTCAGTATGTATAAGGACCATCATAGACAAATCCATTTCGGGAGGTGGGGATATTGTTTTTCATTCAATCCAAAGTATCTTGGACAACTTTCAAATTAATTGGCTAAACCAATTATCTATTTATTTAAATCAGGGGTCTTCAAACTTGGCCCTTTTATGACTTGTGGGCTTCAACTCCCAGAATTCTTCAGCCAGGCACCCTGATTTAAATACTTGCATTCTGTCTTTCTAAAGAAAACAATGCGATAAAGCATTGTGTGGCTTAAAATACCCCAAAGAAGAATTATAAGGACACTGCTGCCAAATAACAGACTTGCAAGTATAAATCATTGACACTGACTTTCCCAGTCACTGGAATTCTGTGGCTTGACCTTGCTGTCCTTCTAGAGTTGCCAGCTCCTGAAACTGAAACAGTGATAAGGTAAAAGGACTGCATTCCTTTGCTTTGAGCACCTCCCAAAAAATCAGCTGTAGAAACAATGTAGTACCCAAAGAACTGGAGCAAGTGAAATAAATGAACCAAGTATTCGTATCTTGATTCTAAGAAGAAAATTAAAAAATGGTACTTAGAGGAATCAAAAACTATGGCTGGACCAAGCTTTAGAATTGTAGTTCATGTATTGAAACCAGAAAATCACACAGATTTTAGTGGATCTTCTCCAGGTATAAATATGAATGGATTCAATCAATGAAAAGTTTTAATTAGAAAAGAGTGATGAAACTGGGTATGTCTTGGTACAGACTTAGTCTGAATGACGTAGTACTAACAAGTTTTCCCATTCATAAAAAGAGATTCAGTTCAGCAGAGTTTTAATCTGGTTTTCTGTGTTACTGCCAAGGTTGTCCCTCAATAATAGACTTTCCATTTAAAATAAAGAAAATAAGCAAATAAAGTAATTTCCCATTCTTAGGAGACACCTCCTTAACTTCAGAACAGCAGTGTTAAAGACGGGATGTTATGTATACATTTTTTAAAAAGCTAAAGTGGTAATTAGAATGGTTATTTTTATTCTTCATTTCTCTTACACATTAAAGCTGCTTGGAACAGCCAGAGAGTATCTGTGAAAATGTTTCAGAAAGTGGATATATGTCATCATATGTGGGGCTTCCAGGGTATTGCATAGCTGGAGTTCATTAGTTTTAGAAGTCGCTTGATTGCAAAAACTTTCCGATTTTCTTCAGAAAAATAATCTGAATTGCTTCTTCCAAGTCATTTAGGAAATAAAGATCAAAGAAAAGATAATCTGCCTTTAATTATTTTTTTTTCATTTTTCCCCCAAATCCCAGAATGACGATGGCACTTACACAGGTTTCATCAAAGTGCACCTAAAACTAAGGCGTCCTGTGACAGTCCCAGCAGGGATTAGGCCACCATCTATTCATGATGCTCTCAAAGAAGTCAATTTAGCTAACATGACAGAGAAAAGAACATCATTCTATCTACCCTTGGATGCCATCAAACAGTTACATATCAGCAGCACAACAACTGTGAGTGAGGTGATCCAGGGACTTCTGAAGAAATTTATGGTGGTGGACAACCCACAGAAATTTGCACTTTTCAAACAGATGGAGAAAGATGGTCAAGGTGAGAAAGATACAGAATAAATGTTGCAAAGAGCTGCCTGCCCTGGAAGTGACAATTTATGCAAGTGGTCCACATGTGTAGTCTGCCATAGGTGCAGCCTCTGCTCTGCTCCCTAACAAGTCTGCCAGGTTCTCATCATCTTTTGTGCTAGCTGTCTCCTCTATGGCAGAGGAGCCCAAACCAGACAAACAATAAACAATCAAATCAGTGCTAAGTAAAATCATACAATAAAACTTGAAATTCTTAAAATAATAAATACAATAATAAATACAAACATTAGAATAAGATTAGGGTTTTTTAAAAAAAAGAAAAGTTGAACAAACAGAAAGTAAAGAAAAATGTTAATCCAATCAAGCTTTTTTTAACTATCTTAGTTCTGGGCAGAATAAACTTCAATAACCATGTTTTATAAAAATAATAAATCTGTTGGAAAGTTACATAGGAAGAGCCTTAAAAATGATGTTTTAGGGACCTCTTGTAGGATGTCTATTTCTATTTTGTTCACAGCATTCACTACATCCAAATGTAAGATCAAAATTTTCAAGTCTACTTTCATAGTCTTTGGTAGAAACATGAATGGGAATCGTGTTTCACTTTTCTTGGAATTAAATATAATTTTCTTAAATTTCAGATCAGCTTAAATTGGTTTTCTCCGTTGCATTTTGAATTTAATGTACCAAAATGAAGAAAATATAGAATTTTCTCATTTTGGGATAGTATCTGGAGAAAAATTTACTTGTTTATAGTTTGGTTATTATCTGTTCACTTCTCTAACCTATAAATATAATTTTAAATCTTATTTCTGTTTTCTAGAGCATTAAATATTCCATCAACTTTTCTGCTATCTGTACATTAGTAACCATTTCTTACATTTCTTTATCCTGTTAAAAAAATAAAGGATACACAGGGCCTAGGACTGCAATTCTTTAACCTGGGGTTGCTTTCTTCCCTATGACAGCTTTTAGTTTTCATGTCCAGTTTTGAAGAACAAATAATAAATGTTTAAAATTGCTGTAAAGGAAGGAAGAACTGAAGATCCTTAATGAGAAGCAGTGGCAGCCTTTTCTATCCGTTCTTCTAGAGGCTCTGTGCATACGGCTGGCTATAATTACATGTGCAAATCTGAAGAAATTTGCATTTTCTTTTCAAAAGTCCTAGGTGACTTTCATTGGCTTATCTTTTGCAGTTCTTTCCCGGAAGCTTCCAGTCACAGAATGTCCTTTGTACCTCCGGCTCCTAGCAGGCCCTGACACGGATATTCTGAATTTTGTGTTGAAGGAAAATGAAACAGGAGAAGTTGAGGTAGGTCTGATTGCTGCGTGATTTTTGTTATTTTTCCTAATTTGCAAAGAAAGACACACAAAAATAGAATCACATTACACGAACAGTGATTTGAATCTCTAGAAGAGAATCTGAGTGGGTGGAAAAAGCAAATGTCCCATCTTATTGGTTCTTATAATAAACATAATTAGATACTTGTGCTCTAGAATAAGCGTAATATTGAAGCAAATACAGAAGCAAAGGGCATTTCATGTTACCCTTTTTAAATATTAAACAGGATTAATAAAGTTTAATTATACAGGACAAAATAACCTTCCTGCAGACTTCTGGGGCTTAAAATCCAGCTATATATAACTAAATGATCAGGTGTCACAAGACAGATCAACCAGGCACCAAGGAAGACATTCTTCTGTGCTTCTGAAGTTAACAGCCTAAGAAATAAAGAACCAAGCTCTGAATTATAGGGAGAATTTTAAAACTGAAAATAACCCAGTCTTCCAAACCTTGGGAATAATCTTTGAAGATGCATTTCTTGAAATTTGAATTGTTTGGAAGTTGCTAGAGGATAACTTCTTTTAAGGTAACTGTAACAGCATGGCTGATGATGAAAAGAATCAACTTTATTTCCTAGAAAGCTTCTGAGTTTATATATAATGTCCTCAGCTTTTACTCAGAATAGTAGCTTGGTAATTTGTCTTGCCGCCATCTGTCTCTCAGAGAGTACCTCAATTGACACACACCCCCAATTCCAATGTGCAAGAAAGAGAGGGCCAAAACTTCATTGTTGTTGTTGTTTTAAACGTATAAAATCCTTTTTACTGTAAGTATCCAGCAGGTAAACTTTCAATTTCAGTTATGAACTAAACCCAACTGTCTACACCTCCTTTGAATTTCAGCCACAAATAATGATAAAACGAAAAACTATATTCTAGAAAATCACCCTTTGCAGATACGGGCCTTTTTATGGTTGAAAGCTAGAAAACTATAATGTGTATACTCTTTCCTACAGGTAGTTTTTTTATTTACCCTGAAAGTTTCAGAGTAGCAAGCTCATGACTTGAAGGAAAATAGGATTACAAAGGATTCATTATTTTGGGATGGGGTTTTCTTCTGGCAAATTAAATTTGTTGCAACTGACGTCTTTCACAGGTTACAATAGCATTTTTTCCCTGCCAATTTAAAGCCTCTCTGTCTTTTTACTTCCTTAGTGGGACAACTTCTCTATTCCAGAGCTACAGAATTTTTTACTAATACTAGAAAGAGAAGAAAAAGACAAAATACAACAAGTACAAAAAAAATACAGCAGGTTTAAACAAAGACTGCAAGAAGCCTTGAAAGAAGCAAATGGGAAGCCCGGATAACCAAATATGGCTAGCAACAAACTCAGTTTTAGAGCCTAAATAAATAATTAAATATATTTAAAAGAAATAAAAACAAAACCGAACAACTTTTTCTTTCTCAGGACACTTTTCAGTTTGGTTGTAACCCAAGCTTTGCTTAGAACTGGTAGTTACAGAAAGGGAAACTGACCCTCTAGTACCAGAAGCGGTGGCTGCTTTTCCTTCTCCATGGTCGTACTGCCAGGAAACTCTGCAGTGATGCTGAATGTCTACTTTATTGGTTGGTTTATTGTACAAATGTTAAGGCTGGACTGAAATGGCTGTCTCCCCTTCCTGCCATCCTGATACCTCACCTGTGGATTTGTGTTACGTGCAGTAGACATGTATAGTAAATGTGTTCTCTGTGATCAATTCATCCACATAACCATCAGCAAACTGAACAACTTTAGTCTGATATAAGTGAGACACATGATAAAAGATGCCAAACCTATTGTTGCACAAGAAAAATGAACTGAACAATTGCCAAGGAAGTGGCAGAATATCAACATGACTTCAGGAATGGCTGTGGACATGAGAAAGAGTACATTTCTTGGAGGGAAAAAAAAATCCCTCTGATGTTAGGATTTTAGGATTCTGATATAAACAGGGCTTTGCATAGTCCTACTGTTGGAATCCCCTTTGCCCTAATGCAGAACCAGTTCTGAAGGCTTTGGCAGGTGATTGTTATATTTGCCTTTATTAATATATGTTGGAAGCATTGGTTACCTATTATCCTAGAATTTATGTGAAGCCTCTGAAAGGAAATAATCTTGGGTGCTATTGACATTCATGTAGTAGAAAATGAGTTGCAATTTGCAACTGCTCAGCTTACTGGCTCTTTCACCTTGCAGGGTCATGCCACCTGATTAAAGGTGTAAGTTCCAAATAGCTGACTCTGTTCTGTTTCTGTTTCTGTTTTTGAAATCTGAACTGGAGAATTAAAAAGTAAATGCGACAATAGAACAAATAATAGGAGAAATGGGCAATGCCCTTAAAAACATGGGCATTGTTATCTAAGCTCTTGCACTTATACAGAATTTCCTGTTTGACGCTATGCCTCTGGTGTAGTTGCAGATGTATGGGAACAACTTCTGCAAGATGATCTCGTGCATTTGGAAGCCGACTCTGAATTATACACACACTTATGATAGGGATGGATATCCTTTGGGATATTCAGGCACAGCTTACAAATGTGTATTGGATTGTCTCGCATTGGAGTGGCTGGTGTGACTGGCTGCAGTTTGCTAGATGATGTAGGACATGAGGCATTCTTTATTCTTCTGTTTATAAGGTTGGGTGGAGGCAAATGATTCCTTCATTTTTTCCTCCTGCCCCACCCTTTTCTGAGGATGTTTTCAACAAGAGTTCATTGAGTCAAACTAGGTTTCATGTATTTCCCCTTTGAGAGCTAGCTTAAGCATGCAGGAACCATTTAGTCCAGCTTGTAAATGTCTTGACTCAGATAACTGAGTAAACTCAAGGCTTCCTTTCCCCTGTTTTGCAAATACCAGCCTGTTGTTTAAAACAAACAGGATCATTCCTCTTACATTAATTTGATAATTAAGCCAGTACTAAGACTCTAATTTTATTAGGCCAAGAGTTAATCAGTTGTCAGAACCTGACAAAGCCTTCTTTGAAGATTCTTTAAGCATGTGGGGGTGGGGAGGAGGAATATGAAGGGAAAAAGATGTTTCCAGCTCTGGCATTGTGGGGTTATGTGTAGAGGTGTATCTTGCAATTAAAAGAAATCAATCAAACAGGAAAAGCAAGGAGCAAATTTAACTTAAGTTCATGCTGAAGCAAAGCTACACACAAACTTCCTCAGGACTGCAGAAATGGTTGATGAAACAAAAAATGTGAAACCCCAGGAGTATTTTGTGTCTACATAGTTAGAGAAAAGGAAGAGTGAAGTTAGTTTTGTTAAGTCATTAAAGATCTTCTCTCCAAGAGGGATATTATATATTCTGTTTTATTTTCATCAAAGAGGGAGGAAAACTGTTTACTGCTCTTCTCTTTGGCATGTCTTGAACATTTCTATAGAAGGCATGGCTTCTTATGCAATTGATGTTAATGCTGCTGACTAAGCCTCCTGTATATAGGCAGGTGGTTTTTTTTTCTTTAAAAATATTATATAGCTAGGGGCATTAAGCTGAGAAAAAAGGTGATACTTAGATTGGGAGAGAATGCAGAACCATTTGATCTGTGGTAGAACAGAAGCCTTAGATGTGGAGGCCCCTACTTAAAAAGCGCAGACTACTGCTAGCAGTGCCTTTGTTTATTAGTATATTATGTTGCTTGCATCTGTTTGTGTGTGTGAGTGTGTGTGTGTGTGTTTCTGTTCAGAATAGTCAGCTACAAACATATACACAGTCTGTATAGAATGGAATTAGTGAAAGCTTTTATGTGGGCAAAGTGAATACATTTTTGCAATGCTGTAACTTATTTTTACTACTGTTTCATCCCTGTGACTTTTTTTAATGTCACCATCTGACTTTTTTTAAAGTTCCTTCTCAATTTGGTTATATGATGCAAACTGTGTAAGAAACTATTAAAAATAAAGGATATCGGATTATAAAGAGTTGTTTCCTAACTCTTTTGTGTTGGGTTCATTTAACATTACACATGAAGAATCAGTGATGTTATATTTTAATTTTAACAGAGATGTAATTTTTCACCTCACTGACTCACTATTCCTAATAGGCAAAGGATCTTGAATTTCCTCTCTCCCAGTGTGATTACCAACAGAAATCTTTCAGGCTTTATTTTTCTATGTAGCTTTACTGGTACCATTTCCTTTTGATTTATCTTACATATTCATCTACCTCTATGTGAGCAAGAAACACATTCCAATAAATTACACAATTTAGATCGTCGTCAATGCACAGACCAAATTGCTTCTGAGTCCAGACTGCATCCACTGCATGTTGGTTGAGTGATTCCACAGAGCTATTCCGCAGCCATGCAGGAGAGAGAGAAAATAATGGTCTAAAAGCTGCTAAGATTCAGTTAAAGTGCTAAATTGAGGAAATCCAATTTCAAGTCCACTGTCATCCATGCAAGTCAGGCCAATCACACTCAGGTTTAGCTACTTCCCAGCTCTTGTGGGAAACAGCTTGAGCACCTAGAGCACAGGTGTCAAACTCGCAACGTCAAGTGACGTGTTGCGATGTATTGTGACTTTTTTCCCATTGCCGGCATTGGGGTGGGCGTGGTTTTGGCATGACGCATCCAGCCCGTGGGCTGGCAGTTTAACACCCCTGACCTAGAGGAATAGTGGGATATAAAGCTAAGAAACATTTTAAGGCAAGGGGCATTTCAGCACTCTGTGACTCCACTCTTTGCAGTCCTTGGTACCCTTTCAAACTATAACCTCTAAAAACTGGCTGAGTTTGAAAACACATGAAAACTATTGTGAAAGCTCTAAAATAGGCATTTCACAATTTTTTTAAAAAAAAAATCCTGATTACTGTTTTTTAAAAACTATCCCTGTTTATATACTTGAGGGAGTCCACCCATTTGCAGCCATCAACTTCTAAAAAGTTAACTGTAGCCTTTTCCAATGAAAAGGTTGGCCATCTTGGTATTTTCTTGACTCATTTTTTCAGTTTTCCTTATAGCAAACTTCTCATCTTCTCATCGTTCTCATCTTTCCTACTACCTTCTCCTACTGGTATCTTATGATTTAGCACTTGTTTGTATCTTATGATTTATGATCTATGACTTATCACTTGTTTGTATGTACACTTATGCACCGGAGACAAATTCCTTGTGTGTCCCATCACACTTCAGTAAGGAATATTGCATTGCATTCCATTCCATGTACTAGGTACAGGAATAAAGTACAAATTCCTATCACCTTTATTCAGTAGAAACAGTTCAAAATAAATAGCTATTAAGTGGGATGAATTATATGCTGATATCATATAGTTCTATTCTGATTATATGATACTATGAACATTTTGAATAACCACTACACAGAGTTAGCTTTTAATTTTAGTTTCTTATTCTGGTAAAAACTGAGTTATAAATAAAAAGATAGGTTGGAAAAAATCCCCTCAAAGGTATCTGGGAAAAGTCTTTATTTTAACTATTAAATAAAAATAGTTTATTTATAAGGCATTTGGATTCAGTTCCACTGAATAAGATAGTTATAACATACTCTGAATCTGAGGTACAGGCCTGGCTATTTCTTCCGCCCCGTCTTTGGTGCTTTCTTAAGACCCTGGATATAACTGTAAGGTATCTGGTAGTCCTCTGCAACAGAATCAAACATTAATATTAGTCACTTCACATTTAGCACTGAAGTATTCACAACACAATAGGAGCTGCAGCTTACTAAGACTTTTTAAACGTCCTGAAAATCTGAAATCATATCAGTGGTTCTTAGATGTGAGAGATACTGGAAACTAGTTTAACAATATCTAGAGATTACCTGCCACAGCACTATAAAAGGACTAATGATATGTATAATAGCCATTCCATTTTATTTTCTAGAATATATATGTACTTGCAACAATTTTTGTGAATACCATAAAGCAGTGTATCTAAATTCAGCAACTTTAAGATGCGTGGACTTCAACTTCCAGAATCTCACAGCCAGCAACCTGTCCACACATCTTAAAAGTTGGGGAGGTTGAGAAACACTGCTTTAAAGTGTTAAGAAATTGAATCACCCAGCTGTAATTTGTAGCACTGTACAAATGTGTGTTCACTAGAAAGGTGGCAAATTGGTATAGATACTCGCAAAGAAGTTTCTATTAGTAGCATCAGAACTAGTTTTGGAATCACTGCTTGCTAAAAACATTCATGTGTTTCCAGTCCGATCAAAAGTAAAAGGGAATGTCCCTTTGATATATTTTGTTTTGTGTTCTGATGCCACTAATAGGAACAAAAATAAATGCAGGCAAGCTGATAATATATTCTCAGTGTCTCAGCAGGTGGCAGCACCTGAGCAACTTTGTTTGGACTCACAAGCAAAGTGGGTTCGGTTAGTATTTGGATGGGAATCCTTAGGGGACTTCCCAGAGTTAATTATTAGATTGGAAAGTAAAAATAAAAGAAGGGGACAATGGCAAACTAGTTCTGAGGTGCAGAGAGTGGTGAGAATGGCCAAAAAGATCATTGGCAATTTCCTCCCTCCCATCCAGGACATAGCACAGAAACGTTGCTTGAGCAGGGTCCATAAGATTATCTGGGACACTATACATCCTCTTCACAACCTGTTTTCCTTGTTACCTTCTGGGAGGAGGCTTCGTGGTATCCGTAGCAGAACATCCAGATTCAGCCATAGTTTCATTCCATACAGCATTAACCTTGCGAACTCTCAAGCTTCCTCCTTCCATTATATATTCAAGATGGAGAGTATTTAATATTTATTTGTTATGTATATGTAGGGGTGGGGGTCTATACAAATGTTGTATATAGTATGTTTAGGTGTGCGTCATGTATGTGTTTCACTTTGAGAGCGGGCAACTAAATTTCAATTTTGATGTGTGCCGTTGTGCCCACAGTAAACAAAATGACAATAAAGGTTATCTTATCTATCTTATCTTACCAAGAAAACCACATGGAACTATCTATGAAGTCATCAGGAATCCACCTTTGTCCAAAGAGGGTGATTTATGAATACTATTATAGCATGCCAAAGATACTTACCTAAGAGCAGTTTAGCAAGATGATTGATCTGATTGCCCTGTATCTGGACTTGTGATCTGTCCTTTGCTCCAGGGATTGCGACGATAATGGCACTAGCTTGAACCTTTTGCTGAAGGGTACTAGCAACAGCCTGAGGGTCCAAACCATACAGCTCAAGATTCTTAATTATTGTCACCTAGTAGCCAAAACAAAAAAAGGCATTACAAAATTAATTTTAATGTTGCCACTAAATGGCTATCTAAGAATTTAGGGTATTACTTTTATGCGAGTATGCTCTACTTTGTAGGCATATTTCAAACTGGGAGGAAGGTTTAAATCTTTTCACTGTGCATATTAATCATAACTTTACATATCTTTAGAAAAGAACATAAATATCTTTACAAATGCTAATTTGACAGCAAATATACAACAGGGCATAGATGTTTATGAACCTGTTTGAATTTATTTAGTTTTAGGACTTATATGAAGAACAGATCATGTTTTAGGTCATAATTATGCAGAAGTACTGAATATTCAAAAAGATTCACAGATTTAAAGCAGCACTCTTATCATGACATCTGGGTGGCTTAAATGAATGGATGCATATATGGGGAGAGACACTTATAACCCAGTGGATGACACTAATGATTTCTTGATCTGCGCAAGCATATTAACATTCTTAATCGTGACAGATTCTGGACAAATGCAGTTGGGACTTCTACTCAGAAGTCCTCATGTTGTGACTCTTACCTTTTTATTGGATGATCTCTGTGCTACGGTTACATCAATTGGAAGAATATTTCCTTTTCTCACAACAGGTTCTTGTCCCCAAAAGGTTACCTGATGGAAAGGTTCTAGTTTGTTTAGACACCTGCCAGTAAATTAGAAACTGTTTAAGCTTATCTAGTAAAAGCTGATGAGATGAATCTTTCAGCGTTTATGGCTTAGCCATTCGTGATGTCCAAAATTGCCAACTACATCTATCTATTTATTTATCCATTTAATACTCGAATGCTGAACCCTGTGAATAGTCCATAGACTGTACATACCTAAACCAAGAAACAAAGCCTGACAATTAAACACTTAATGCTAGCTTGTGATGCTATTAAAAATATTGCAAGAACAAGTACTTATTTCTGGGCTTGAAATGTACTATTTCTCTTAGCAGGTTGTTTATTTTATAGTAAAAACAAACCAACCTGCCACGGTTAAACATTGGGAAACTCGCTCAATAGTAGTAACTGTGAGAGGGATCTCGGAGTCCTAGTGGACAATCACTTAAATATGAGTCAGCAGTGTGCTGCAGCTGCCAAAAAAGCCAAAACAGTGTTAGGCTGCTTTAACAGAGGGACAGAATCAAGATCACGTGAAGGATTAATACCACTTGGTAAGGCCTTGGTAAGGCCACACTTGGAATACTGCATCCAGTTTTGGTCACCACAATGTAAAAAAGATGTTGAGACTCTAGAAAGAGTGCAGAGAAGAGCAACAAAGATAATCAGGGGACTGGAGACTAAAACATATAAGGAACGGTTGCTGGAATTGGGTATGTCTAGTTTAACGAAGAGAAGGACAAGGGGTGACATGATAGCAGTGTTCCAATATCTCAGGGGCTGCCACAAAGAAGAGGGAGTCAAGCTATTCTCCAAAGCACCTGAGGGCAGGACAAGAAGCAATGGATGGAGAGAAGCAACCTAGAACTAAGAAGAAATTTCCTGGCAGAACAATTAATCAGTGGAACAACCTGCCTCCAGAAGTTGTGAATGCTCCAACACTGGAAGTTTTTAAGAAGAGACTGAACAACCATTTGTCTGAAATGGTATAGGGTTTCCTGCCTGAGCAGGGGGTTGGACTAGATGACCGCCAAGGTCCCTTCCAACTCTGTTATTCTATTCTGTTCTGTTCTGTTCTACTCTATTCTTATTTTCTATTCTGCTGAAGAGGCAAAAATTAAAAAGTAGACAACAAAAATCTTATTTTGCAAACAGTTGTCCAGCTGTCCCTATTGCACGAGAAGTGTAACATGCAGAATTTGGGAGGTATGCAAAACATCCGAACGAGAAGCTTTATATAAAATAAAATGTGAATGAAGCATCTTAGTTCTTTCATTAAAGCTGCTGCAACTTTTGCAAAGCTCCCAAGACTGCTTCAAAAGTGTGCCTATGCAGCTACTATGATTTGTTTTCCCTCTAGTGAAGAATTTCAGCTACTTTTCCCATTAACTGATCATTGGCTATGAAGTAACTCTTACAGTGGGTATCATCTTAGATACATCACAAGACACAAATATGCCAAGCATTACTTTTAGTCATGCTGATTGGGAATTCTTGAATTATGGTCTCAATAGAGGGGACTCAAGATTGGGGAAGGTAGATATACTTTATAAGAAGATCCTATATCAAATATATAAAACATCACTATGAACTAGTCTCCCCTCACCTGCTGAGGAGATCATCCCACTTGAGCCTTGAGATTTCATCTTGCTCTGCTTTGTCCAACAGACAATCGCACAAAATTGGATTCACCTTTACAAAGCTGTGATAAAAAAGAAATGCATTTGCATCATGATTTACGCCAGTGTCAATAATGTACAACACTTAATTTTTATCAGGTTTGTTTAAAGTCATGGGAACTACAAATAAGAAGATAATTGCCACCTACTTTTTTTAGTTTAGAAAGATGAATTAAAAAAAGATATAGAAAGACTTCTTCCAAGCCAAGGTTATAATTATCACTTAGATAACTATAAACTAGATGATTACAAATTACTAATCTATGGAATGCTTGTTGGTGAAAGTGTAATGATAAAAATAACAAATTTATTGATTTGCAGACCTATTAATCACATTTATTGTCAGAAAGTTGAGGAAAGTCTTTCTTATTCAGTACAAGTTCACAAGGCCTGTGCCAAGCATGAAAGACCAGGACCACACTTGAAGTTCCAATTAAACTGATTTATTTCTACTTATGCCTATGCACAGGAATCTACTCAACTAACGGTTTGTACTATTTTGGTCCTGGATAAAGGTCTATAGAATTCAAGAGGGGTTGGATCTAGTCTGCTTGTGGCGACATAGAGCCTCTAGGCTGATTCCTCTTTTGATTCTATATGTATGTTTATATGTGTTTGTGCATGGGGAATAGTAAGGATTCACAGCACCTCTGATTACAAATCATCTAATAATAAGCCTTCCAGAAAATGCCTGTCTCATTCTAATATTGCTAGATATAGGAAAGCCCCAGGATGGGACCAATCATTTGGGGGGACTGTACATTCAGATTTGAAAGTAGAAACATATAATGAGCACAGAAAGCTACTTTGTAAAATCCCAGTGTAATAATCACTCCATGCCAATGGTATAGAGCCAATAAGCAAATATTCTGATCTCTATGCTCAATGGTTTCATTTCTTACATACTTTTTGTTTATTTCATCAACCAACTCATTAGCCTTTACATAGTTGATTATCACACTTCTCACTTCACCGCTGGAGAGGGTATGGCCTTTTCTGGAGAAAAATGAGAACTTTATTAGTTGTGCAGTTGAATTATGGAAACAATTGCAAATATCCTGCTCTTTCAAACTAAAGACTTTCTAAAGATTTCTCAATATAGTTAACACTCTCTTAAAGACAAAATATGGGGGGGAATGGCACAATCAAACCAAACACATTAGCTTGGCATTCCAAAAGCATTAACATTTTAGATATTTTTCCTGGTAAGCCATTCTTTTCTGCAAATACTATTGGTAAGGTCTAGCTATGCCATTCTATTTTTGCCTAAAACATCTAAGTTAACTCTGGAATCTGACTCAGACATACACAACTCTTTCCTTTAAGCAGTGGGGTGTTGCCATCTCCAAACACTCCTGATCCACTGTGTCAAAGAGTAAGATGGTGTTTAATATTATAGAATACAAAGTTAGGTGGCTGATTCTTATATTCCTTACTTATGTCCAGACTCTTGAAACAATGGGGCCATTTTTGATGAGATTCCATAAAGTTGCATAATTTCAGGAGGATGGTACAGTTGTTCTTGATCATCACCTTTACGGTCTTGGACAGACATTTCAGATGTTGCACTTTCAGGTACTATGAATGATCTAATGCTGAAATGCAGAGAGAAATATTATTTTCATACATTTAACCAGAGAGTTATTGTAATGGTTAGAACTGACATGCAAAAACTAATCAATGCACCTTTCTGATTTAACAGAAAATAGACATTGTAAATTACTTTTCATATTACTGCTACATAAAAGCTCATGGCAGAAGTAATAGTAATAGTAATTTTTGTTTTTAAAACAATCAATCAAGAAGATTTTTTATTATTTTTTTAACAATATTTTTTATTAATTTTCTGATTTTACAGTTCTTAAAATAAAAAAATTAACTCAATTTTAGTATATTTTCTAAATTAAGTCTTATTTAGGACATCTGAATATTTTAATTTTGTTATTTTTTCAATGCATATTTTCCTTTCTATATGAAATTCTATCATGGACAAAATTTTATTTTGTATCATTTCTATTTAGAACAAATATATCGCTCCATAAGAAATTTAAAATACTTATTACCTAGCAACTTCCTAGCTACTACAGCAACAGAAGAGTTTAATTTTATTCTTTGGTTTAGCAAAGAGAGAACCAGAATGGTTAGGGTAAGCCACGGGTGTCAAACTCAATTTCATTGAGGGCCGCATCAGCATTGCGGTTGCCCTCAGGGGGCCGGGTGGGTGTGGCCAGGGTGGGTGTTGCCTACTGGATGGGCGTGGCCAGCTCTACATCGTTCGCATCAAGGGTGCCTGTGGGGGCCTGGGCAGGAGTGGGATAGATCTGAGGGTCTCTGGCAGAAGGGGGTGGGACCAGGGCAAGTGCCAAGGCATGGTCCACTGGAGGAGCCTCACTGTTCCTCTCAGGCCATGCGGGGTGGTGGTGGTTATGGAGCTAAGACTGAATGCGTTTCAGCATAGATGGCCACCACAAAATTGTACATTGGCTCCCAGCCGGCCTGGGCCAAGGCAGAGGGGGCCGTTCCCTTACTGTTTCCAGGATGGCTTTGCGGGCCACATGAAACCACTTCGCGGGCCGCATCCGGCCCCCGGGCCTTGTGTTTGACATGTCTGGGGTAAGCATTCAGCACATGAGGATAGTATATGAAACTGTCAGATATATTAGAGAATGGCAATCTTGGATTTTTTTATAATTAAGGAGATAGAAAGAATTCACAAGGTCTCAAACCAGTCTCATAATGGCTGGGGGGGGGGAGCACCTAACAAAACCAGCACTTCCGAATGTCCTTTAAACAATTTTATAGAATTTCTGGACTGGATTCTGATGAAATCTATTTCTGGAGTAAAATATATGGATAGTGACATTTCATTCATGTCACTTCTAGTGAATTTCTTATCTAAAATTAAATTTTAAATGATCCTCCTATACATACTCAGTCAACTTCCTTGACATCACAAGTACCTATTATGACAGAGCTAATGTACAGCCTTGCCTATTCTAGCAAATTACTGTAGAAAGTCCTGATAACACATCTGTCAAGGTATAGCACAAGTAAGATCTCATCAAAGTTACTGTAAAATGTGAATTTCATAATGCTATATTTATGTGACATCACAGATGGGTGGGGGTGGAAACACTATAGAATTTCCTGTAGAAAATAAAGCCCAACAGCCCAGGATCAAGGAGCCAACCCCTTCAGAGATGATCCCTGAGGAGAAACGTGAAGAGGGGCTGCAGTGCATCTTTATCCACACTAATCCACTGCCACTTTTAGCAGAAGTAGGAGGAAGATTTGCGAAGAGAGCATGGGCAGCAGTAGGAAGAGATGACAGGTAAGCATGCCCAAGTTCCAGGTTTTACGTGAAACTGGAGTGAGATGACATATGTGGAGGGTGTGTGTTAATACTAAAGGAAGAGAAGAGTAGACATCATGCCTATCCTATCAAACATTTTCTTCTTTTCATTATCACTATCTACATCAGGGATAATCACTGCCATTCAGAAGCTGGGGCACTAAGCGAAATAGGTTAAGATGTACTGTATATCTAGTATCAAATGTGTTACAGCTGACACAAAATTTATGGCTGAGCAGATGCCACTAATATCTTTGTCTGTTATCACTTACAGACTGCAAGAAAGTTAAATACTATCCTTCCATATACACTAAATATCATTGTTTGTATAAAGTTTTAAATCTTGCACATATTTGATATTGTTCCATTACAGTTACCCATTCACAATAGTTTTTACACCACTTCCAAATTATCAATTTAAAAGCAATACAGAAATAATTTAAGCAGCCCATAACAATTTAGAAATGGACTGCTATCAAAAAACCTGATTCAATGGCATGGCAATAAAGATGAATAGTAGTGGAAATAACCAGCAGTGGTGGACTGTTGCATAGATTATCTTACTAGTAAAATAACTGAGATTTCCAAAGCTTGATCTTGAATATTTTTTTATTTTAAAAAGTATGTTCTAGAATGAGTTTTCCAAAATCTGACCTGTTTTGATGCAGCGAAAAGAATGGTGAACGCATCACTTGCTAAACATCACATGCTAAACATTTGGTAAACTTTGAGTTGGTAAACATTTCTAGTTCTGTTAAGACACTGTTATGTAGTGGCTCAGATGCTCCTTTTTCAAAATTATCACATTTTTATTCAAAATGTTCTGCAATTTTTTTAAAAAAAATGTTGGTTGTGGGGGAAATATAAGTGCCTCCAGAGAGTCTGGCTGTTGCTGCACTAATATAATACAGAGATTTATGGCTCTACATTTCATGATCTTAAACACAATTGTACCATGTTGATCTAAATACCTGAGAAAGCATTTAGTATTAGTCTGATCTAATCTTTTTAATCCTTCTCAAGTTCTGCTTTGCTGCCTCATCATGGCAATGGAATGCTGGGAGTGTACTGGGAGTGCTGGAGTATACTGTATATTCCAGCAAACTTACCAAAAACATGAAGGTCCTCCCAATAGTCCAACTAAAGCAAGCAAGAAAGCACCAGGTAGCAGCAAAAGATGCTGGAAGCATGTGATCAAATTAGCAAAGGGCATTATGTCATATTGCAGGGGGAAAGGCAGGGGCAAACTATAACAACTACATGGATAATCATTGGCAATGCAGTGCTGTATGATGGGTCCTTCAGGTTTGATGGCATTCAGCCTCCTACTGAGGAAGAGCTAAGGATCCTTTGGACTAGTAACAATGTCTATGTCATGGCTAAATTAAAGCCTCTGGAGTGCCTAGTTGCTGTAGGCATGTAGGGAAAAAAAACCTGTCGATGCCAAAAAAAAATTACAATGGAAATATGAATGTGGAATAGTTCAAAACTGTGAAAGATAAAATGATTCAAGTACATATTGATATCTTAGGCATTCAAAAATTGAAATGGATTGGAATTGGGCACTTTCAATTAGGAAATGAAAAATAAAGAAGGTACGGTGTTGCTTTCATAACTAAAGACAGTATTTTGGTGCAATGCAGACAATGACTCAAAAATAGCAATTAGACTTTGTGAACAATCCTTTATTATGATTATGACCCAAGTTTGTATTCCAATCATTGATATAAAAGAACAGGAAGTTGATTACTTGTATGGTCAATTTCTATCCGAAACTGCCAAAACCTGCAAGCAGATTATGCTGTTTGTGTTTGGGGACTGGAATGCCAAAGTTGGAAACACTAAGGAGAGAGTTGGGTTCTACAGCTTAGAAAAAAGAAATGAAGCAGGAGAACAACTTAAAAGTTTCTGCCAATCCAATCATTTCTTCACTACTAGCACAGTATTTAAATAATCAAAATGATGTCCTTGTAGATCAGTGTTTCTCAACCTTGACAATTTTAAGGTATGTGGACTTCAACTCTCAGAATTCCACAGCCAGCATTGCTGGCTGTGGAATTCTGGGAGTTGAAGTCCACATGCCTTAAAATTGTCAAGGTTGAGAAACACTGTTGTAGATGGATATGATCAGGTAAACAGAAATCAAATTGACTATATTAGTAGTGAAAGGGCTTAGTCATAAATTAAAAGACACAGAAAGGAGCTGACTATGGAACAGATGACAAACTGCTTATCTGTGAGTTTCAACTCAATCTACAGTGGATGAAAAAAGCCAACTAGTTTCTATGAGCCTGATCATACTCCCGCCATTTTCTAGAAGAGTATCAGGAATCACTTTGAAGTCCTGAAACTTATTGATAGGGAACCAGAGAAACTATGAAGTGAAATCAGAGAAACTGTTAGCATAAAAAGAGACTAACAGACACAGAAAAAAACAGAAAGCAATCTGTGTGTCGGAATAAATTGTGGAAATTGATAGGAAGAGAAACCAAAGCTAAAAAAGACAAAAATATCAAGAAGGAACTGAATAATTTCAAACAACTATAAAGGGGACAAGAGGCAATATTACAACAATATCTATAAGGACATTGAAGATAAAAACAGAGATGGAAAAACAAAGAAAGTCTTCCAAAAGATCTCCGAATTCAGGAGATTCTAGCCACAAACCTGTTAGAATACAAAAGAGAGATTTAAAGAAGACCAAAGATATACTGAAAATCTGTAGTCAGATATCCACTTCAATTTTTTTGCCTTAGAAGATATTCCTTATTTATATTAGAAGATAAATTTATATTAGCACTCAAGTCATTATCAAGTTGGAAGATTACAAATGTTGATAGACTTATCTACAGCAGGGGTCCCCAAACTGTAGGCTGCGGCCCACTACCAGACCGTGGGCTGTTGGCCACTGGGCCGCATGAGTGGCTGGCCAGTGTATGTGTGTCTGTGTGCTCGCACCCCTCCACTCGCGCTAGTGCGTGGCGTTGCGTGGGCGCTAGTATTGCCACAAGCACACCCACTTGTGCTAGTGTTGTGGCATTGTACCGGTGCTAGTGATGGCACGAGCGTTATGTGGGCGCTAGTGTCACTGCGAGCACACACTCCCCCCATTCATGCTAGCATTGTGGCATCGCATGGGCCCTCGTGGCCCTGTTTGCATCACGTGTACAATTGCAGCCTGTTCATGCACACGGACCCATTTGTGCATGCACACAGCCTCCATCCCCACCCCGCCAACCCAGAAAGACTGGGAACCCCGATCTACAGAAATATGGCAAGCAACAGAAGAACCACTGGTAAATATTCTAACCAAACTATGTTACAGATCAGAAGAAAATAGTGGACAATAGATTGGAAGAATTCAGTATACATACTGTGCATGTATGCAGTATGGTATGTACATACAGTGTACATACTCAAGATAGGACATTTAGTAAAATGTATAAACTATTGCACAATATCCATGATTTTATATATTAACAAAATAATTCTTAGGCTCATTAATTCTTAGGCTCATTACTCATCCTCAAAATTATGACTGCTGCTCCCCCCAGGGTCATATGATTGCATTTCAGGAGCTTGGCAACTGGCTCACATTTATATAATTAGTTTCAGTGTCCCATGGTCACATGACCACTATTTGAAATGTTTTTTTTACCATTTCTGCAAGAAAACAACCAAGCTCAGAGAAGCATCAGAATCCCCATAAAAAAAGAAAAAGATATTTAATAGTAAAAGCATAGCTATTGCTCATTTAAATTTCTACCCTTTTTTAAAAGTTTGCGGTTACGTGATTCAAAGTCTTACCTTTCATGTTTCCAATTTATGTCCACAATACTTTCCACACCCTTACTCAACTCTTTCACCTGAAGAATCTTCTGCTGTTGCACTGACTGCAGAAATTTTGAGAACTAAGAGCGAAAAATAGTTAAAATTGAATATTGGGACAAAATAGCAGTATCAACCATAATACAGTCCAAAGAATAGGGGAAATTTTCTAAGGAATGTCTATTCTTCACTGCTGATTTGGGATACACATGAAAAAAGAGCGACCCTAGGTAATACAAGCATAGGCTGATAGTAGTCTGTTCAGAAACAAACTGACAATATCAGGAAGTTCTTTGGGCTACAATAAACATCCTTATTATTATTTTTGGATTGGCCGCAATATATACTGCTATATGAGCCAGCACCTGGCAGTATACTAAAATCTTCATCAGTTGAATAGATATCTTCAAATTATATGAATGTATAACTCTTAAATCCTTGCTAAAAGGTGTGATCTGAATAAGTAAAATAATACAGAAGAAGCAATTTACACTGGAGAGACATTATTGGAAATATTATGAATAAAAAATATACAATATACAGTATTGTTAATCTCCTTCCTAAATCAGAATTATCCCAGACCTTATGTCTTGAAAAAGGGGGGGAAATGACAAATTACTTAGCCCAATTTTGTTTGCAACATTGTCGGAGAAAGATATAGCCACAATAAAAATATTGCCATGACCCAAACCATTTGCAAATATCAATGGAAAAATACAAATCAATCTGTTTGTTTGTTGCTTGATCCACATAGACCATATAGTGCACAGAATGGAATGAATTACCAGAGAGACAATGTACAGTTGTAAAGATGAAAAGAGTTGGGGTCTGCCATATATCAGAGAGGGGGAGCAGGAGCAACCACAAAAAAGGGATGCTTCCTAGGTCCTATTGAAACCTGGAGTTATTCCTCCTTGTGGGAGCAAACGGGACAAGTAGAAGTTCTTGGGAAAAGGTAGTCCCTCAGGTTACCAGGTCCTGTGCCATATAGAGCTTCAACTAATTGGGAGTCCTCTGGCCATAGCTGCGACTTGCTCTGTGATCCTCCAAATTGTGCACCACATCTGAATGGGGTAGTGCCACTTGATCTAGAATTAAAATGGAAGCTCTGCAACTCCCACATCTAAGGGAACCCAAACCCCTAGCCACTCAGTCTTGTGCTGCAACTTGTAGGTTCACATTCAAACCTTCACAGCCTCCAGACACTGGCAAAGGACCTTGACAGTTTAATTTGGACAGCTGGTGACAGAGATGTGTTGCTGGGTGTCATCATTATTTTGATAATAACTCACCCTGAATCCAACCAATGGCTTCTCCCATCTGTTTCATGTAGATATTAAAAAGAATGCGGGAGGGCAGAACCCTGAGGCACCCAGCAAAATTAGAACATAAATATGAGAAGCAGGCAAGCCAGGAAAATCTCCACATTATTAAATCAATTAATTTATTACTGCAAACTTCCATAAATAGGCAAAGAAACAACTATTCACCTTTTTGTAGCTAGATTTCTTTATATCCAGTTGTTGATCTTTTGGACTATTAATAGATTAAAGAAAAAAATAATTACCAAACAAACAAAATTTGCATCATCTAGAATAAGCTAACTAGAAAGGTATCCTTGCTAAATTCATATATTGATTCATTTAATTACAACTGCTGTAGCCCAGAGTCTTTTATGCACATAGGATTTTGACTCCCACTTATAAATACTTTGCAACAATATCTTTTTCTTTAAAAATACCTTTAACTAGCATAAACTCCAAGGTAACTTCAATCCATTAATCAGCACAGAAGGACTGTTCTTGCAGAGTCTGGCCTAATCCTGAATATCCTTATATACAGCATAAAGAAGCTCCTACATGCTCATGTCCAGTTAAAGGATCTGTTTTAATTCAGAATATTCTTCTTACATATAAGGAAGCTTCCACATACAGATAAAATTCCCCAACACAAGAATTTTCATTCTCTGAATGCTCAAAGGTCAGCTGTGTACTTTGCAACTTTCAAAATTAATGGTTCTAAACCATGTTGCAGATAACAAGAAGCTGAGAATCACCAGAACTCAGTATAGAAATGCATGCTTTGCATACATATGATTCCAAGTTTAATCAGTGGTATTTCTAGTTCAAATAATGGGACAAAAATGAGCTCTGTTGGTGATCTGAAGAAGTAACACTGATTGGAATAGAATGAACTGGACTAAACAGGAACTAACTGTCTTGGCTCTATATGCCAATTCCACTTCAAGCTACATAGATTTTTAAAAAGTGTTAATCTAGATCAGTGTTTTTCAAACTTTGCACTTTTAAGGTGTGTGGATTTCAATTCCCCGAATTCCCTAACCAGTGTGCTAGCCTGGGAATTCTGATAGTCCATACATTTTAAAAGTACCAAATTTGAAAAGCACGCATCTAGAAGCTAAAAACAAAACAGTCAGAAGCTGCATAACTATCAGGAAGGTAGGGTAAGTTTTTTAGTTTTGTGGCAATTAGTATTTCTAACTAATAATCTTCCAATCAATTAGTTGGAATGACAGAAAAATCTTTAAGTAAACCAGAGTAAGAAGCTAATTTATATGACTTTATAATGGTTTTGCAGTCACTGAGTTAAGTTTATGAATTATGGGAACTGAAATATAGAGCTAATTTTGGTACATTGTCATATTATGATGCTAGGTTCAAAAACATCAACCTTGTGTTATTGTATTCACTTGTACTTTGTACATGCAAATGTTATTCGTGGATGTAGTACATATTTTTCAGGTTAATCAATCATGTTCTGAATGAATAAATTATATTGACATATTAGGCATGGTGAACTTGGGTAGAATCTAGGAGGTTCAAACAGAAAACAATCCTCTACAGCAGTGGCTCTCAAACATTATGCTCTCGGGAGCCCTTTACATTCTTAAAAATGATTGAGGATTCCAAAGAGTTTTGATTTATGTAGTTGTATCTATCAATATGTTAAATATTAAAATATTTATTTGACTTTGTGGATCCCCTGAAAGGGTCTCAGGGACCCCAGGGGTCTGCAGACCACATTTTGAGACCTAGTCCTCTGCAGCAAACGAAAAACTCAGTCTACAAAGTCAATTTTTATTATACTTATTATACTGTTAAATATGAATTTTTTAACTTTGATTTTCACTTTTATCTCTTGTTTAATTTTGATGATGAATTGTGCTTTTAATTGTGTGTTTAGATTGCTATATTAAGCTGTGTAAACTATCCAGAATGAGATGGGTGGTGTAAAAATTTAATAAAATAAATAATAAATACTTACCAGCAGGAAAATATGTAGTTACGCAAAAACGTACTGGTCAGCAGGGGGAGCTCTGACTTCTTCACTTTACATTTTAAGGCATGAAAGAAACATTGATGAAGCAGGGCATCCATTTGCTCTGTAGAAAGTAACATTAGGCACCATTTGTTCCCCAGTGACCTCTGCATAGATTTTATGTAATTTTATGTAATTTTTAAATAAAAATGTAGAGATATTAAGCATATATATATATATATATATATATATATATATATATATATATATATATATATATATATATATATATATATATATATCAACAAGTTATCTCTCATAAATTAAAAGTAGTAAGATACATATCTTCTGTCAAGGTTTTATTTATTTATTTTAGTACCAACTTTAATTTACAATTTTTACTATTACTATAGGTAGGTCTCAATTAATTCAATTAAAGGATCCCACAAAATGGTGGCATTATTTAAATTGATACTTCTATGGAAAATAGGGCCATTCAATCCAGCTCAATGAAAATAGTTAACATTTTTAAACATAATGTTTTATGTCTACTAATGAAATACTGCACAACAGTAAAGGAGGATAAATCCACCCCCCAAAATCACACTGTTCATAATCCACCTGTATTATTTTGAAACTTGTATTAACTGTATTAAATAAAAAAGATTATAAATGATTGATAAACAAACAAACAAATCAAATAGCATCTATAGATTATGGAAGCCCTATGTAAATGAGACACATTTTTGCTGCTCTTTTTACCAAAATTTCGAGTAGATACATGCTGTGAGGAATCTCGATTAATGCTCTATGTCTCTTTCCATATGTATCTGTGTGTTACTCCAGTGAATACATACTACACAAAAAAACACAAAAGCGCACACATTACCTGTTACACATGATAGAATAAGACAGTTTGCACTTTGCAATGTGTAAAGCACCATAAATATACTACATTATACCAATATGCTATCGTATCATCTCTGCATCTAGTAAATCTATTTCTGTGCAAATCTCTACAGTTATTATACCTTGTGGACTTCTGTTATCTTCCATCTCCTGAGAAATATTTGGTTCATTCTCTTCAGTCTTTTCAGCAGCATCACTCTGACTGAGTTCCTCTTTTTCATCCATGACAGTATGCAAAATATCTTCCTCTAAGGTGAGATGTTCTATGTCCATCTGCAAGGATGGATCAAGAGAGAGGCTGCTTTCAGGTGTTTCCCCTTCTTCCTCCTTCTGTTCCTCTTCTTCTTCAGCTATCATCTCTGAAGATTCTATTTCTAAGAGGGGTATTGTAGGCGGGCTTGATTTGTCACCAATGGCCCTTGTGAATTTAAAAAGAAAATAATGTGATAAAACATACTGCAAATGATGTAGACAGGCTTACTGCAAATCCCCATTTCAACAAAAAGAGTCCATGCAAACAAGTCTACCTAAAATGTAATACCTATACCGGGGTAGGCAACCGTGGCTCTTTTATGACTCGTGGACTTCAACTCCCAGAATTCCTGAGCCAGCCATGCTGGCTCAGGAATTCTGGGAGTTGAAGTCCACGAGTCATAAAAGAGCCAAAGTTGCCAACTCCTGACCTATACCAAAGAAATCAAAATAGCAATTACTATCTGATCCCATTTATATGGTAGTTGAAATAATTTAGAAAACTAAGAAGTCTATCAGTTAAGGCATGCCAGTACAAATGACCAAGTTACTTCTAAAGCCAATTCAAGACTTTGTCTGCGTAACCAAGCACAAGAATATCCACATTTTGAATATTAATTGAATGTGGCCTGAAGTCACAGAAACCTTGCCTCTGCTAGTTACAGATACATTTTCAAAATGCATTTTCAGGGAGAGCAGTGCAATTCAGGTGAACATCTCAATGCTATAAAGTCAATGGAACCATTCAAACCTACATACTGTATACCTCATAGTGGCACATACAATTTATTCTGGGACCTAAGAGGGAAGGGAAATGTGTTTCTTAGTAGTGCAAGACAACTCCACACTGATATCACTGGGTTACAGAAGAGTAGGCATCACCAAACATATTAAGGTTCAATTTAGAAGTGAGGTTCAACTAAGACTAGAGGCAAATGCCATGCTTTTTGTTGTAATTTTATGTTTGTTAATAGCAATGCTAACAAAATTAGAGGCTACTCATGAAAAGAAACACTATGAGATCTCACAATTCTCTAAATTGATGATATACACAAAACCTTTACCTTTTATTGTTCAAAAGCGCAAATGTATGCTGATCTAACATGGATGAATAAAGCCTCAATCTGTAAACTCAGATTTACAAGTTGATTATTCTAATTTAATAAAATTGAATATAGTCTAATTTAATATACAGTCGTTCTCAACTCAACTATTCATTTAGTGACCATTTGAAGTCACCACAGCATTGGAAAAAGTGATTTATAACCGTTTTTCATACTTGCGACCATTGCAGCACTCCCATGGTCCCATAATCAAAATTTGGGTTCTTGGCAACTGGCATGTATCTATGATGGCTGCACTGTCCCAGGTCATGTGATCGCCAATTGTAATCTTCCCAGCAGCCTTCTGACAAGCAAAGTCGATGGGGGGAGCAAGATTCGCTCAATGACCGCATGATTTACTTAACTGCAGTGATTCACTTAATAATTGTGGGGAGGGGGAAAGATCATAAAATGAGGCACAACTCACTTAACAACTGCCTCCCTTAACAATGGAATTTTTACGCTCAATCATGGTCATAAGTCGAGGACTACCTATAGTCAGGTTAGAGTCCAGAAATCAGTTGGCCCAAGTCTTGAAATAATACTGTGCCAAAACTAACAGCGTTACTTCCGATTTGGAACATTCTCCAAAATTTGTCTGTGTCCTCACCATAGGTGATCCATGTAAGTGTGCAGCACTGTGAAGCCTTTTCCTTTCATTCCAGCTGCCAGCATCTCAGCAGTTGTCATAATAGCTATTCCAATGGCCACAGGGGCTCTGCAAAAAGACAAGAAAAAGAATGTAGCATGCTTAAGGCACTTACTCAAACTCTTACTCCATTTAAAACAGCTTTAAGACCATTTCCTGCATATCATACCCAAACCATGGATTAACTGATGTTGGGTTTTATGTTTTATCTTGAAAGTCAACGTTAAAACCTAGAAGAAACACCAAAGCTCAAGGGGTATGACACAGAGAGACAAGATATAACATTGCTAAAGGGAAAATTAAAAATGCAATTTCTGTTCTTCAGTTTCTAATCCACCTGTATTTTGCTCAGTGCATTGTCAAGTTTTCAAGTAGATTTGCTACTCTTGTTAACATTTGCCCTTCAGATCTGGAATATCTTTTTGTAATAAAAAAAACAACAAAAATAGTAAAAGGCATTACATCAAAATGAGAAAAAAAACAAAAATCCTGACTTTCTCCCCTTAAATAAAGAATTGTCTAATTTTTATAGTCAACACAGAAGTTCAAGAATCAGCTTTGTAACTAGGAAGTGTTTTAAGACAGAAAGAGGCGCTTCTACCTTCCAACTTTGCTCTATGGAAAAAGCACATCAACAATCTCTGACGCTACCTAATACACAAAAAGTACAAAGCCTGTGGTCATCTTTCTTCTTTGCATTTTTTTTTGCACATAAATTGCAATAATGAAGCATGCTAGACTTGGACACCAAAAGCTGACACTATTCCCCCCATCCTACACAAGCAACTTCACAAAGGAAATTCTTCAACATATCAAGCAAATGTCTCCAAAATATGCCCTCAAGAGACTTCTACCTGCAAAATTATAAGCATATGCAATCTGCAATGTTCTGCCTTCATGAAGGAGTAATAATTCATTGATAGACATCTAGTTCATACACAGAGATTTAATTTCTGGCGAAAAAGATATCAAGAAACAGAAAGCCTCTGTCTGTAAACTACTTCACATCATGGTTTAATTCAGTGTGAAGATGTTTCATTTATTCACAACTATGTACATTTCTATAACACGGCTATAGACCTACAATTTTTAAATTTAAAAACAGATACAAATTTTAAGTTGGTTTGATCTGATACCACAGGGACCAATAATTTTTTTGATGGGTAAGCATCTTATGTAATTTAACACAATAGTACAACTGTCAATAAAATAGGATAGAAAACATGAAATAAGATGAAATGCCAACAATTTAAAAATGTCCCCAAAACACAGGAGACCTTGTCTGAGATATATAATTATCTTTTTCTAAGGCAGTGGCCAACATTACAGAATATAAAAATAAGAATTGATTAACAAATCATTAACCCCTTTAGCATTAATTGTCTAATAGAAATCATACCTGTTTTCCACCAAGGTAACAGCACAGAGACTACCTCGATTTACCTGGGGGAGACCACATTTGGGGACGATAACACCTGGAAGCATTAAATCTGTAGTAAAGAAACATAATGAATATGTTCAAGAGAACAAATATTCAAGTTAACCTATCACAATTTTCTGTACTAAACAATCAAGAATCAAAATATTTAGAATTCAGAGTCTCCCAGTTTCTAAATTGTTATCTTATCCACTACATCAAACTGGCTCTCTAACTATAACTATTATTCCAGAAATTCCAAAACCAATCCTACTTGTGTGTTTGTGTGTGTACATGTATAGTTAATCAACATCGACACAGACCTGTGTTTGTTTGTTTGAGTGGATGGATTGACATCCATGCACAGGTCCGTATCCATACAGACAAATTATTAATTTCTCTTCTGCACTTCAGAATCAGGGCCGGAATCAGGGCCAGATGCAGAGACCACAACAGGCTCCATTATTGATTAGATCAAGAGTAGAATTTTTTTCCCATTCTCAAAACACATGGACCAGAAGTCTGCATATTATTAAAATGACAATATGACGACTGGAACATTGGTTGTGTTTTTCATGTTGGTTGATATAGTACCCATAAACACTAGCATGGCTTGGGATATTGTCATATAAGCCCAGTGTGTCTTTGAGTTATCCCACCACTATAAATTCAACATTTCTGCTGCAGCATTTATTACAGTTACAAATCAAGGCTCTCTGTAAAATATAAGAACTTGTACTATTTTTTTTATTAGGAGAAAGGAAAGCAAACCAAAAAGACCATGGCTAAGAGATTAAAAAGGGGTTGCTTAGTGTGTAAAGATTAACAGTTAGGGACCAGAAGTGTTCTCTAGAGAGGGCATTCAAAAGCCACCAAGGTACATAGGTTAAAAAAAAATGTCAAGTCAGACTGACTGTTAACTGACTATCCTTTATTTTCCTTTGTTAAGGTTAAATAAGAGCAATTCCCCAAAGCTCTTCTCAAACTGTCAATTAATGATAAAAAAGTATGAATATTTGAAAATGTATTTAATTATGTTTCAAAAACCCTACTTTCAAATAAGCATGTTCAAATCAATAGAGTTACAAGCCAAATATTGAAGGCAAACTCCACAAAAAGGCAGATAAATGACACAACAGAAGATTTTAATCCATTTCCTTACCTGCTCCGCCTACTAATTTGTGCACTACAGGTGGCCAAGTAGAAAAGGCAGGGAGAAGGTGGGGATAAGACCACAGCGTGTACACTGCCCCAAAGAGAAAAGAAAATAGTTTTTAAATGTTTTGCTAATATTTATTTCTCCTCAGTCTTGCATTATGTAAAATAAAAAATAGAAATTACTAGAAAAATAAAGGACATATCCAAACGACTCTCCTCATTTCAATTTTTCATTCAACTAACTCAAGAATGCAATCACTTAATTAGCATTAGCTTTATTTTATCCCATACAGAGGACTGAATACAAAATACTTAAAACTTCTAAATATAGCAAAGGAAGGCTGACACTGATTAGCTAGTTCTGTACAATCATGCTTCCTTTTTTGTACCCCCTTGTTTATGGCATAAATATCATGGTTTGTTTAAACTACAGTTGTCTTACATTTGAAGAAAAGGTGGTACCTAAAACTTAGGTTAAATAGATTATTATTTCACCATAATCAAAACAGTAAATGTGAAGTGGTTTTAACTTAGAAAATGGTGAGCACAACTATAAAATAAAAATAGTCCTTGACTTAAGACTGTCCTTAATACTGGAATTATGGTTGTAAGTTATTGCAGTCATAGGCTTAGGCACTCACACAATCAGAAATTATTTACCACAATTTTGCACCACGGCAAACACTGCAGTTAAGCAAATCCCATCCAACCTATCCAACATGAGTGTGTGTGTGTGTGTGTTAGATGACACTAGCATTTATGACTGGTTACTGGTGATAAAGCACCAATTCTGTGGCTGATATAAGTTTGAATGGTTTTAAAATGACCAGTTAAGCAAGGAATACCTGTATGTATCTACTACTATCATCACAACTTACATAAAACTAAAATCCTAATCAACCTAATCATATCCTCCTAGAACCAGCATAAATTCCTTCTTTCCACTCACCATGGATAGACATTCTGAGAAGAGTTATAACAAACCATGTTTCAGAAATAATATATGCATCATGAAAAGATTCTGCCTGATTGCAATTAAACTTTTTGAAACTTCACTGCCATAACTAAGAAGTATTGAGCCACTGCTCTTGGAGGTGGAAACGAAGGTTCAGAATGATCAAGTAACGTGTTCAAAAAGAAAAAGAGAACCAAACTCAAACATTACAAGTCTCAACATCACCTGCCCACTGGAATGTCTGCTGTACCTGTTGGATATATCATTTTCTCCATTTCAAAAAGGATAGGATTTTTGCCATTGGCATAGACTGTGACAATTTCTCTTTTATGAGTATATATTTTCATAATATTCAATTCCTCTTTCATTGGCACAACTTCAGCAAGTTGTTCTGAAGTTAGGATGGGAAATACCGCTGCAACATCATTTCGCAATTTCCTCCTGCAATTGTTAATTTTATATTTGTTACTATGTATCAAGAAATAGCCATCCCTGGAATTCCATATCATTCAATCTGCAATTATCTATAAATAAGATTATGAGATGTTATATTTTAGTAGTACATTATTAATACTTGTTTTCTTAATATCCTTATTCTGTCTTTTAAGCCACCCAAGCCAATCACACAAAATATACACATTTTCTAAGTATGCTATAACGTTTAAAAAGCCATTTTAAGATTGGCAAGCTATCCTAAAGCCTTTATTTCAAATCACAGTTATATATTCTATATAGGTTGTCTTCAACTTATGACCACAACTGAGCCCAAAATATCTGTTGTTATGCAAGACAGTTGTTTTGCTCCATTTTACAACCTTCCTTGCCACAGCTGTTAATTTAATCACTGTAGTTGTTAATTTAGTAATAGGGTTGTTATGAATCTGGCTTCCCCATTCACTTTGCTTTTCAGAAGGTCAGAAAAAGTGATCATATGACCTCAGGAAACTGCAACCATCACAAATATAAGCCAGTGACAAGCGCCTGAATTTTGATCATGTGACCATGGGGATACTGCAAAGAAAATGGTCACAAGTCATTTTTTTCGAATGATCACTAAACAAATGGTTGTAAGTCAAGAACTATCTATACCAATATTGTCATTTTTTTAAATGGCAACAGTATCAATGAATTATCTACTTTGAATGGAAATCTGCTTCAATGATAGAAAATAGTTAATACGATAAAAAGATAAAAAATACCAGTTTTAAAAGAATATGAAGTATTTAGAGTTGAGAAATAATCTTAATGGTCCAAATAATACAATCAGTTTTTAAACTCTTAATACCATAGACGTAAAGCCCAAATAATCTCCTTAATAAAAAAATGTTATGAGTCAGATACTACAGAGTTATCTGAGTATAACAGCAAGTGTTTTATAATCTTAAAAAAGAGAATCAATATATAAAAACATTTCAGAAACTTGCACAATGGTATACTGTCCTGTCTCTTTTGCAATTTATCAATTATTTCAGGATTGTAATATTTAAAGATGGCAAGATTAGATAATTACATCTCATTTAATAACACATATTTAGAAGATTGTTATTGTTTTGTCAAAACAAAATCTTATCCCAACATTCCTTTCGTGCATACTGCATGCAGTGCTGGAAAAACAATCAGATCACTTTTATTTGTCGACCAACAATCTTTCCATGCAACATGATGTCTATAATGAAAACTATCAAAGTTTGCATTCATGCTGAAGCGAGCGTCTATTCACCATAGAATTATAAAACCGCGTCGTCCTTAAGCCTCCTCACATAAAACTGCTCCTTATGCTCGACATAAAAATATCCCAATTTACAACTCCCAAGAATATAACGCCTTGAAATGAAAGAAAACAAACTTACCTATCGGAGCCTTTGATAGCGGTGTTGGATTTCACTCTGAAAGGTTTGACAAACATATTTTAAAAAAATCCCAAGACTCCGATTCTGGGAGAACTTGGAATTCCGCCGATCGTGGATTCCCCAGAAATAGGGGAAATACTTTAGAAAGTGGGACCCATTGATTGTCTGTAAAGATCTGCATAGAAATCTCTCTTCATTACATGGGCGCAGCCATAGTGCGGTACTGCAACAAAAGGAGTCCGTGGGGCAATTGCATGATTATTCCTACAACTGGTACGACTACTATTTCCTGCTCTGGTGATCTCAGCAGCAAAGATACCGCAGTAGAATCGGTTACACTTCCGGCGGGTCCAATTTGCTTAGCTTTCCGCTACGCAGTGTCAAGGGAGCAGGACTCGAGACGCGTCTCCAAAATCGCTGCCGTTTAATTCTGCTGAAATTGGTAGGAGAAACTTATGGCATGAGCTGTTCGGAGCAACTAAGGAGGATTAAAGCCTAGTTCAGTGGGAATCTGAGAACACATATTGTATGTACTGTGCTATGCTATGCATATTATCTTTATTTATTTATTTATACACACACACACACACATAATATTTATATTATTATTATATTATATTATATTATATTATATTATATTATATTATATTATATTATATTATATTATATTATTATTATATTTATTATAAATATACATTTTTTATATCCTGCTTTTATTATTATTTTTACAAACAACTCAAGATGATAAATACACATAATATTCCTTCTTCCTATTTTCCTCACAACAACAACCCTGTGAGATGGATTAGGCTAAAAGAGAGTGACTATCCCAAAGTGACCGAGCTGGTTTTCATGGCTAAGGCAGGACTTGAACTCATGACCTCCCATTTTATAGCCTGCTAGAAACCATTAGAGCAAACTGGCTGTAGACCAAACATTATTTGTAGCCTTGTACATCATCAGAAATTTAGATCACCAGAATGTCAATGCAATGTGTTGAACCATCTGTCCAAATAGCACTAGTAGTTAATAATATTTTATTAAATTTATATGCTGCCCAGAATCACTGAGAATTGGGCAGCATATTAATGTGTTATTATAGTTTGTTGCGTAGTCAGCAGTTATTTAGACTGGATTTGGCATTTTTATCCACCTATCTTTATATTGTTGTTGTTATGCTTGCATTTAGAGCAGTAAGATTGGATTTAGTTGACTATTTTATTCGGTGTTTGGATTTCACACATGACTGCCTTGAAGTTTCTTTTTAATTGAGCAGTCCTATAAATAAAAAGAAAAAGAAAGAAAGAAAGAAAGATAGATCATCTTAAGCAACTTATTTCCACTATGTTTGTCACAAATTACAATGACAGCCCATACATAATTCTAAATTTGATTACCCTAATTTACAAACTAAACTAAATATTCTGAGTGCACTGAGTCGACCTAATTCATCTTTAGAGGATTAGTTGTTATTTTGGAGCTTGGTTCAATGTGTTATGCAGGCATGCCTCCACACTTTAAAGCCCTAATATTGCACAGTGGTTTACACCTTCCTTGTAAGGCCACAGAATTATTATTAATAATATTGGAGTATTGCAGCTCAAGAATGAATTTTTAATTTCAGTAGCACCAAATTACATTGCTATAAACAAAATTTCTGCCTGTTGAAAATTGGAAGATTGGAATTAAATAACTTAGTGCTGAATGAAGTATCTTATGACTTAATCAAATACAGTTGTAATCCACAAAAACTTGATGGGTTTCCATCAGAGACTAAGGACAAAAAAAGTTCCTCAAACTCATCCAACTTTCCATCATTAGGTCCCTAACCCTAATCATTCCAGGATTTTTTTTAATTGACAGATTCCATGTTCTGAAAAGAAGCTTGAAAATCCACATGCTATTTGATAGCAGTGTTAGAAAATTTATTTTATTAATTACATTTTTGTCAGCATCTCACTATACAAAGGAAAACATTCCCTGAAAAAAATATTATTTATATAGACTAGCAATAACAGGGGTATTAATTTTAAAATTTTCCAGACAGTCCTAGGATGTTAGAAATACTCTAAAGTGCAATGAAATATGAAGCATCCATCCAAGCACCCAATGGCAGTACTCTTTGGCAAGATTCCACATCCCATGTATCTCAAAAATATAAGTCTTCAGATAGTAGCACAAAATACATTTGAAATAGAAACAGCATATAAAAGGTAGGGACTTAACAAACTGGAAGAACCCTAAATTGTAGTCTCGATTTTGTTACAAAACCAGCTGGGTAGATTTGGGCCAGTCATTCTTTCTCAGTCCTAGAAAGAAGGTAGTGGCAAAATAAAGATTTCTGAAAATGTTTCCAAAAAAACTGTAAGGATTAGTCCAGCTAGTTGCCAGACATATAAATTAATTGAATGTGCACACACACACACAGACACATATGCACACAGAAAGCACAGTGCATATATATTGAACCATCTGCAGCTAGCATAGCCATCTGATTAGTATTGGAAGCAGCATTAACATTAAAACGATAAAACAGTACAGCACTAACCATAATAAATGATATCAGGTATTAGAGAATCCATCTTCCAAAGTGGAAAAAGATAATTTTTTTAATTATACTAATAAAGTTTCTGGTGGTTTTTGTTATCTGTTGCCTTCAAAATGGCTATATCTCTTGTACTTATCAAACATATTTCAAAGAATGAAAGGAAAGTACAGGACTGTGCAGCTAATTCTAGGATATGACCTGCTGGTGTACAAAAAGACAGTTTGAATAAACTACTACCTGGTTTTGAAAATTACTGCTAGTACCATAAAATTCAATATTAACTTAGGAGTGCCAGGTCTTATTAGATCATTATCTATCTCATACTACCCAGATGAATCATTATTAATACAATCCTGCCCACATTATAATGAAGATAATTTAATTAGTTTCAGTCTGAATCCATCTCTGTAATTGGATTTTGCTTGTAATTAGAATGACACAGTAATTGAAATAAAGATGCTAATTTTCAAAGAATGTATTTGTGAAGATAAAGCAATCTGTTTCACAATCATTAGAAAGATTTTTGATATTTTGTTTTAACAGCTTTATAAGAGAACACATGTGAGAACCAGTTTGGAGTCATGGCTCAGGCTAGAAATCGGGAGAGTGAGTTCTAGTCCCCTCTTGGGCATGAAGTCAGGTGGGTGACCTTGGGCCAGTCACTTTCTCTTAGCCCTAGGAAGGAGACAATGGCAAACCATTTCTGAAAAGTCTTGTCAAGAAAACTGCAGGGATTTATCCAGTCAGTCTCTGAGAATTGGACATAATTGAATGGAAGAAAAAAAAGAGAACACATATGAGTGGAAATTCTGAAAAAAAATATTTATTTATCTATCACATTTAGAAACCACCCATTTTCCTCACAGAGGAACTCTGGGTAGCAAACAAATAAAATATTAAAACATAAAAACTGTATATACAATTTTAAAAGAGGCAAATATGATTGAAATTGAATATTACACTGAATTAAAAGATGGGGCTTCTGGGCACTAGTCAGCCCCATAGCTGTATGCTGCTTTGTGTGCCTCAAGCAAAACAGCAGAGCCATGTTTTCAAACCTTTCCGAAAGGCCAGGAGAGTGGGGAGCCCACCTCACCTCTGTGGCAGGGGAAAATGTTCCAAAGAGTGGGGCAAAGCCAGAAAAAGTTCTCTTCTTGGACCCCACTAGTCAGAATTCTTTAATTGATGGCATCCACAACATACCTTCCCTGACTGACTGGGTGGGATGGGCTGATGTAATGGGGTGAAGATAGTTCCATAGGTAACCTGGCCCCATGCAGTGTAAGACTTTAAAGGACATAACTAATACATTGAATTTTATTTCTCTTATAAGATTTATAAACTGTCTCACTCCAGAGGATCTGTGCAGTATACAAAATCAAACATATTATACAACATAACAGAATGAAAATAATATCTCAATAATAGATGATGGGACTTTTTCAGAAAAGACTATTAACTATTTCCTGGAAGATAAGAATGGAAGTCATTTTTGCCTCAAGGACTAGGATTAGGTTATTCCAAAGGATGGGAGGGGCTATCAAAAATACCCACCTTTGTGTCCCCTCATGTAATACCCCCTGGTGGAGGGAAACTTCAGCAGGCTCTCTATATTCACTCAGGTCAGGAGGCAGAATGGACCTGGGAATAAGTGGTCTTATAATTATATTGTGTCTAATTTTGTAATTTAAATGAATGTACTCATTTTTAAATTATATATGAATGCCCCCTTATTTTGTATACGTTTTAACTATAGCTTTTTCTAAAGAACGTTATGTTAGTGTTTATATTTATCAGGCAAATAAATTAATAACATGAAATAACATTTGTGCTCTGGCTCCTGAATCAAGCAAAGCATTTAAAAAGAGATGAACTAAAGTAATTACTGGGGAATTCACATCATTTAAGAAACTCACTTAACACTAAAAGCATGCCTCCAAGAAAAAAATATACATTCTTCCCAAAATGATAAATGATTTTATTTCTAGAAAGGGAATAGAGAACCTTATCAGGGTAATAATAATCAGTTTCACAACATTGTAATTCCCTGCAGAAAACCATAATAGTTCATTTTTTAAAAAAAGTGTTATTATCACTGCAAAGTAAGAAGTACTTTTTGGAAGTCACAGAAAGTCACTCTTTTAGTGGCGTTAATTACATTTGGAGAAATGCTGTAGCACTTAGGAGATACTTAAGCCTTCATTCAGCAGCAAAGATTTTCCAACCAGCAGAGTCTTTCTACAATATACATTTGAATTCAATTAAGCTTCCCCCCCTCCACAGAAGCAAAGAAAATGGATACAGTATTAGACATAGTAGAGCTCTCCAAATCTAAGGAAGACATTTATTTATTTAGGGTATGGTAAAAATGTTAAAAAGCAAATCACAATTACATTCTCAATGAGTAAATATGAAACTAATTAAGAAAGACAAAAACACTTGGACATGATTCACATATTGTAATGTCAGTGAACCATCCGATCGCACTGATATATCCAGTATGATTTCTT